AATTGCGAGAGAATTCGCGGCGGCATCGGGAAAGCTAAAGGTACGTCCCCCATAATTTTCCATCCCTTTCAACCGTATGTGTCTCTCTAATACGCTATGTACTCCGAAACTACCGGGTCTTTGCCCTTTTAATGGCAGTCTATTTGACTAATCTAGATGATCTTTGATTTTTCTTTCAGCGGAATTGTCGTGGTATCGATGTTTCTCGAGTTACACGCGATCGAAGAGAATGAGCTTTTTGCAAATTAAATTTTGAAGAGCCAAGCAGACAGCAATTATTCGCTTCAGTTAATTTCAGATAGAATTGACCTCAATAAAATTTTAATACGAGTCTCTTAGTTAAAGAGATATATAAAAAATGAGAAAGTTGCAATAAACGATGGTTTCTCTCGACATTTTCGATAAGAATAAAAATCGACTTTAAATTAGCCGAGAAATAAAAAGGACATCCGGCACTTTTAGAATGCTGTATATTACAAGTTTCGATACAGTCTTTTCGCTTATTTTACCCCTTTTTTTTTACTCCTCCTTTTTGCTTTTCACCAGTTGAGCTTCCATAAGTTGGGTCTCTCCTACTTCTCCTCTCTTCTATACTATTTAATTTTTATTCGAATATTGCTTATCTAATTCTACGCATATGTCATCACTATTATGAGCTTGAGCGGAGATTGAAAAATACTTGTCAAGAATATAAAAATCGCTCGGATCTTAATGATTGAATGGAATATACAAAAGTTGGATTATAAATGCAACAAGTCGCGGACACTGCTTTTGGGCGTTTGCATTACGGTATTTTTTTTCTCGTTGAAACGCAGTATTTTTCTTTTTTTAACACAGGTGTCAATTTCCTTGTATGGGACGTCGGTGGGCAGGAGAAGCTACGGCCGCTGTGGAAATCTTACACGAGATGCACCGACGGTATAATTTTCGTTGTTGACTCCTGCGACATTGAGCGGCTCGAAGAAGCGAAAATGGAGCTTACCAGGACAGCGAGGAGTCCGGACAATGCGGGTGTGCCGATCTTGATTCTCGCCAACAAACAAGATTTACCTGGTACAACTAATATTATAAAACTTACCATAAATTATATTTTAAAGTCTGGACTGAACGTCTTTTTAATCAAAAAGTACTTGTTTACTTAATTTTTGTTTTCTAATTATATCTCTCAATTTTGTGGGCATTTATTTTTGACGCGTATTTATTTAACGCATTTTTCCCCCGAATTCTTTTTGCATAATATGACGCAGCACATTACACACTTGTTCTTGTGTGTACACTCGATTACGTTCGGTAACAGTTGGTCCAAATGACCATAGCGCGCGCGATTGCGTTTAGTCATTTCCGCGTCGTCACGAACGTCGTGTCTTTCTAAAGTTATATCACATGCTACGAGAGATTGCATAAAAATCTGAATAAACGTACATTTTTTTAAATATTGGATTTTTTGGCAAAAATTTTTTTAAATATTGGATTTCTTGACAAAAATTAATTAGTGACTCAGAAGAGACGTGAAGTACACACTGTAAAAAAAATCTTATAAAAGTAAAAAAACCATCCAAGGTCTAAAAAAAAATCTGTCGTCAAAAGGATATCCCGTGATTGTGAGATATCCTA